TCTTCACACGTATTCTCTCTCCTATTTACTAAAAAAACATTTTATCAGATAAATACATATATAAGAACGTCATTTTATAATATAAATCCTATGCAAAAATGTGCATATATAAGAATAGAAGCCTCTTTTCGGGAATAAGTGTGATCTGTTTGGACTCAAAAGACGATCTTGTGGGAAAGTTTAATCGATTAACTCTAAAACTGAACGACTAGTTTAGCTAACAAGAAACAGATGGGTTTTTCTAAATCTATTCGTGTTATTGTACTGATTGAAAGTGAAACATATATACTCAGATAGACTGCAACGTTTCTTTTACTGCGCGAAAAACATCTTTACAAACCAAATATCCATCTTATTCACAATAGTGTCAAGGATATTAAAAAATATTCGTTTCTGGAAATGTTTATAAATGCTCAAAAAATATGAACAGAGGATTTCTGTTGGGTTTGACTGATTAGGAATTGGGTCACAAAAACATGCACTTTCTTCCGTTTATGTATATAAAAAAACAAAATTGTAGGCGTATTTAAGAAAGAGAGGTGTACCAGCGTTTGACATGGAATAACGAAAAATATGTATATGATTATACTTGACTACTAGAGTTTGTTACTCTTTTGTCTATATTTTTCGTACTCATCCACGGATACACCACCTTAGTGTGAATACGCCTTAAATATACTTAACAGAAAATACAAAATGTAAGGTATTTACGTTTGCTTTAATTTTGATCCAATGCTTAAATCGAATGGCATATCACTAGGGCAAGAATTGCCTATTGCTGCAGCATTCATAACAACAGCAGCGGCGGTAAGAGCATTGAATTGAGCTTTAAAAATATCTGTGAACGTTCTACCGTGAAAAGCAGCAACAGTCGCTACTGCACTTGTTGCGGGCGCGGTTACTGTTGGGGACGACATTGTAGCTGGTGGCGGTGACTTTTCAGTTGAAGTGGTCACTGCATTTGATAATGATTTTGTTGTCGTAAGTATAGTTGCATTTGAAGAATACTTACTTTCGATATGTGTTGAGACATTAGATAAGGTTGGAATCGTAGCAGTACTACTGAATACATGGCTATTATATGGATTAATTTGACTTACTTTATTTACTAATGCTGACGTTGCATTTGATATTGCACTAGTAGATGAATCGGATGCTGTCATGGTAGCTGTCGTCGTATTGATACGTCGAGCAATATTTGATTTTCGTCGATGTTTGCTTGGGGTTGATGTTATCATTGACTCAACAATGCCATTGTTCTTAACAGTAGTGATGGGTGCACTTGAATTTGGTAAAATGTTTGTAGGAAGTCCTTTCTTGCTCTTTTTTAATGAAGAAAACAATTTGTTCTCTTTAATTTGGACTTTATTTTCATACATTTTATTTCCTACTGCATTCTGAACCGTTCCAATTGCTGATTTTAAAGCAATCACTGCTGCATCTGTATCTTTTATATTCCCTTGCGTAGTTAGAGCAGCGCATTCAAGTATTATTTCAGCAGCAGTTACAGAATGTTCCTTATCAATAAATTTAGGATGCCAAAAACAGTTCGGTGAGTTTCTTTCATATTTCATTTCCTTACATTCAGACTCAATACTTTTATTATTGTCATCATCAACAGAATGGCCAAAGGATTTAGTATCACTTACGAACTTTAATATGTTGTCTTCAATTTCTTTCAAAGAGCTATCTAAGTTAAGTGCTTCTCCATCAAAGTTCTTCGAAAACACTTTTTGTTGTACAAAACTATTTGACCTTGCATTTTCTGACTCTGAATTTTTCCCACTTTCGGAACTGCAAATACCAGTTGCTGATCTTACAGATAAAGGTGGGTACAATTTTAGTGCTGTTGCCATTGCTGCTGTGGCTACGGAACTTATGTTACAATGTGAAAACTGTTCCTTAGTTTGCTGCAGGCGTTGGATTGACCGCATATAATACAAATTAGCATTTTCACATTGCAATATTAGTTGCTTTATGTTTGCTATCATGTAATTAATGGAATCGTCATTTAAACATAAACCTTTTCTTACTGTATCAGTTAAATTATTAGAATCGTACGCAAATTTTGGCAGCTGAGCAGTTATTAAGAAGTCTTGAGTTAGATTAAGCAGTTTCTCCAGAAACAGTTTCGCTTGAAGCAAGGTGTTTACCTGATTTCTTAATAACAATAATACTGGATGGTTTTTTTCTGTGTCGGTACACGTAACTGGATTCGATAACATAATTTGAGGCAAGTGTCGAGCCTTATTACAAAGTGATTCAGTGGTAGGCAATTCTGGATTTTGGTTTTCATTATAAGTACTGTTAAAAATATTGTTGTTTTTATCATTTTCACCAATGGAATTATCTTCAACTTTCTGATGTTGTTGCGAGTGTGTAGTGAATGTGTTGTCGTTAATGTGAAACGCGCTATCGGACAATGGTTCCGAATACGTGGTGGGGCTCAACAATTTTGCATACATCAACTGAGTTTTTAAAAATTGCTGCTGATTAAACTGTTGCTGATGGAACTGCATTTGTTGTTGTTGTTGTTGTTGATTATTTTGTTGTAAAAGAATTTGTTGAAAATCTATTTTCGGGCCTTGACCCTCTAATTCTGACAAATTTTCCGGTTGCTGCATTAAACTCGAAATTATAGGTTTATTTGAATGTAATTCATTAGGATACATAAGTATATTTGATAACATGTTTGTTGAGTTATTCAAACTGAATGGAAACAGATTACTCTTAAATATACGTGTATCTTCAGCATCACATTGAATATATCCACTTTGCTTTTCGACTACCGGTTCACATTCTTCTTCTTCTTTTGGTACATCACATTTTTTTTCTACTAGTGAACTTTGATCAAACTTTTTCGAACTTTGATCGGTTTCACTTTTATCAATATATCTAACTCCTTGTTTATTTTTATGCAGATCACTGTTCAATTCGATGCCTTTGATAGATATATGTGAATTGTCCACAGAATTAATCTCTGTACTATTAAAGTGTGGTTTGTAATCTGAGCAAAAAGATTCGTTTGTCACATTTGATTCAACGGTTGTGGTTTTATTATCTTTTTGGACATTCATAATTATTTGACACGATTGGATTTTAAGTAATTAAACTCAAATTCTCTATGAGAACGTTAATTGTATTGATGTTGATGATGGATAGAAAAAGATGAGAGGGAAGAGTAGCACTGATCTTAATATTTTGTATGTTACCGATAATAAAATTTAAATCATTTTCATCACATTTTACTTATCACTATTAAAGATTTTTCTCTTAATTATGCAATTAAATTGACTAAAACTTTTGTTTATAAGATGTTTTGTCAATCTATTAAAGCCGTGAAAGTTTATAAACATAGTCCAATGTGCGTCAACAAGTGAAATATTTTAATTTGATTCTTAATGGATACAATTTAGCTACCGATTATTTGGCGCTTCAAATGTTTACGCATATTATTTTGCACTTCGGCACTCATAAACTATGCATTATTAGATACATTTTAGAGTTAGTAAGTTCTTTGCGATTCAAGACAGTTTTAGAAGCATTCTGATCAAAAATTAGAGAACGGTTATGTATAAAAAGCTAAACAGCTTACCATTAAAAAGACTGAATACAATTTAGTATTTATTTACTTAATTTTAGTTTTTCTTCAATTTAGTTTTACAACAAAAATTATGCATTTCCACAGCATATATTGGAACGAAATTTAAATCGAAAATTATCATTTGTAGATACAAATACAAAAACAATTGTTAACATTATTATACAGGCAGAAAACTTTTCAACATTTCCCTGTTGATTAAATTTATTTCTATGGTTGGAGTGTATAGCCTGCGCAATATTGCGCATATGAACCAAAGTGAAGTATCTCGTTGTTGTAGTAACCATTATTTTTTATTTTTTTTAAGTTGGCGTTCTTGAAGGAAATACTTGTCTTAGAATACAATAAGAAAAGTAAATTAAGGAGCAATGCCTTCCTTTAGAGAATCAAAATTAATTTATTGACTTGGAGTTGATGAGTGCACTGTCGTACATGCACACGTATTATAATGTTGCACTTGTAAGTCCTATTTCATGAATAGGAATTATGTGTATATTAATATTATTTTAGCAGTTATTAATATTTAGACTATTAAACTAACGTAATTTTCCATTTTGACGATTCTCTCAATTGTGTTGAATGACATATTTAGAGTAACCCAGAACCAAATATTAAAGCCAGCACTGTTTCTCTCTCTTATATTTTTCTCTTTCTCAATAGTGCATTTCACAACCTTTTAGTGTAGTTGTCTATCAATAGAATAGAAAGGATGCTGTAAAACGAAACTAAAATTTTCACAAATCTTTTAAAAAGCAACAATTTGACCTACAATTAACATGTATTAACGCTTAATAAACCATTTATTTTGCTCTTTGAAGGTTTTCCTACGAAAATACGCTAAGATATTGAAAACGCTTAACATATTTATTGTTATTAATATTATATTTATTTATTTCCCGAACTGTCCTATCATTTTCGCTCCTTTTCGCTATTTTTGGCTTTTATTTATTTTAGTTATGTCACTATTATTCATTTATTTACAATTATTAGATTGCGTTAACGCTTTTAGACTTTTTGCAACTCTTCGACTGGAGCAACATATGCACATACATACGTCTGAGAGTGTGCTTTAATGTTCGAAAGTAATTTATTAATTCGTTTCAATCAGCAGGCATTATTCCCGATTTTGTATTGAATTTGGCGTTAAAAGTTTATTACTCGACATTACTCTTCAATTCTGAATCTCTGAACCTCATAACAATACTGAAAAGGTGTCTTTAAAATTTTACACATTTTTAACTTATTTACACATTTTAAATAGAAAGAAAATAATTTATTTGCACTTCGTGTTTAACTCAATGCGGGGGCTAAATAATTAGTATGAACTGTTTATGTATTCATATTGTTTAACCGTACTTAATAAAATTGCCAGATTAAGTTCCACAACTCACCGAGTACTCAACAAGAAAGGAACTCAGTTTTTGGTTTTTCTCAGAACGGCTCATGCGCATATCAGAGAAATTGTGGTGCCATCATTCCAAAACTGTTTGTGGTATATTAAGAATTTTGAAAAATAAATTTAAAAATTTTTTCTTTAAACTATCATTTATCACTGAAATTATGAGGTTTTGAAAAATATAAGCATATGAAATTGAGAACTTCCTCAGAGTTTGGAATTATACAATCATAAACATTGTCCGAGAAATGTTTCTATATTTACAGTATCTTTCAAAATGTAATATTTACAGTTTAATATCAAGTCCACAATACGAACGTGGAACTATAGCAAATACAACAAAACGTCTTCTGCTCAGTAACTCTCAGTATAAATACCAGTAAGCGTTTTATTTTAGTTGGAGATATAATAAAAATTTTCTAATCTATGTTATTGTTAGCAATAACACAAATAACTTATCATAATGTATTTGGATGATTTCGATTTGGATTATACTGAGTTTGGATTAAATGCAAATACAAATACTAGAGTTTTTCATACTAAACACTTATAATTTTTACTTCACTACGGCAGGAAAAATTATTACTTAAGAAAAAGTAAACATAAAGCAAAACAGCATAAAAAAAAAACAAACAACACAAGCTAAATCCGATCACGAAATACTTCGCACACTAAGAAATGCAATGCAAGTGCTCAATGTTCAAATCAGCTGATGTAAGATCTCTGCTCTTTCCAGTCAACGAATTGAAATTCATTTCGTTCTTACGTTTTCTTTTATTTTCACTTCGGGGCGAAAAATTAAATGTATTGTTTTTCGTAATGTTAGACGATTGCAGAGAAAGCAAGGATAAAATTCTTTGTACTTAAATTCCAAGTATATATTACATACAATTAAATCGATTTCAGAAATTGCAGGAGATAGCAATAATATGTAAAAATATTATTTAGTTTTTTCTTATCTCGTACATATTTTTGTGTTTTGTTGCTACAAAAAAAACTAATATGAAATACTAAAATTAACGCATATTTTCAAAGACAAAATATCTTCGGAAGCGGTAAGTTACCATTTCGATACTTCTACGTAAGCTATTTGTAAGAGTTGGGGACTACAACCTAGTATGATCGAATGGTTTTAATCAACTGTCCATAAGACCAATATTATAATTATACAATTTCATAAGTATTTAAGTTCAGTGGCTGGTTTTAGTCAAATCTTTATACTGTCGATGCTTAACAAATTACAACGCAGTGCTGATTTCGATATCACTTAGATGCTGAAACTATTTTTTATGGAAGTTCAACGTTTTGACTTCTTTCCATCAAATATTGACCATATCTAGTTATCGGTAAGTCACTTAGTAGAATTGAGTTTAACCATTTATACTAACAACTGTAATGTAGACAACTGGGCAGTAAAGTTTTTTTTAAGCAGCTAGTCATTTGTAAAATTATAGCTATTTGAAAAGCCACAGCTTGCTTGGGTGTGGATAATATTATGTACAATATATAAATATAAATATATTTATGCTATCAGACACTCCCTTCGCATCAAAATTCTTGAATTTAATTCAACAACAGCTATTGGTTGTAATAAATCTCTAAACGGAATGGAAACTAGCCTGAATCTAAGATCTGGACATATTGCAATTGTCCAGATCTTATGGCATGGTCATAATTTATCGTGGTGTATTTATATCCGAAGTATATTTTCGCAACTGTTTGCTTCATTTAATTCCTTTTTAATAGTTACAAATGTTAACAAAATATTGTTCAATCGAACCTAACCTATTTCTCAAATTGTGAAATGGCTTAATCAAAAAAATTCTGTACTACTTTCTGTGCGCCACTGACTTACGACATGTTAATAATATTTATTAAGTGGCCTTTAGACATCAACGCGCGTTGACAAACACACGAAGTCTTCTCTTGCCATTACACATTAAATTTACCAACAATTTTTTAAACACGCCTCCAGCAAACAATGCAAAATTTGTTCACTCATCAGTATTAAAGCAATCGCTGAAGTGTCAACAGCGGCTGCTATGCGTAATTCCCTTACGAAAAATGATGTTCTACATTTTATTTATAATTTTAATATATATATTTATATTTATTTTTATGATTTCAATTTATATATTTATTTATATATATATTATATATTTTATATAATTTAATTTTTTTTTTTTGATATATTTTAATAACAAATTTTCCGTAAATGCACAATGCAATTAATATTTAAAACAAAATTGTCATTGTAACTTAATGTTTGGTTATTTTTTTTTAGCCCAAGGTTATTAATATTTTGATTTTTCTTAATAACATGTTTTGGAAATTAAAAAATTTTACCTAGGTAGAAAATACAAATATTTAAAATAAAAGATACAATTCATTCATATTTGCAAAGGATCGCTTGCTAACGACATCATGCGTGCATTTAAACGATGTTTACGCTTCTACTCCTCAAAATAAATTAAATTTTGCATGCCGACCAAATCCGACTGTATATGCAAAAACACGAGCGTGGTTGAAGAAATATCAAAATTTTTTGATTTTCGTCAACACATTTCTTAAAATTTCAAATGTTACTATTACACAAACAAATTTCGCATTTCACAAAGTAGGAGAAAAGTAGGAGAAAAAATTCTCATGTGAGAGCGATTTTTTAGTATATTTGTTGTTTTATCTGAGGCGTGTTTAAAAAATTTTTAAAAAATTGTTTGTGTAATGGCAAGCGCGCGTTGACAACGAGCGTTGATGTCTAATGGGCCCTTTATACAACACAAAAATTAGATATTTAATTATTTGTGAGTTAAAATTGCAATTAAATTTAAAGTTATTTAAGAATAAGGAACTGCACTGCTAGGTCCTTCGGCCTAAAAAATTTTCTTTCGAGCCGCATTTGAATCATTAGAAAGTTACAATCAAATATAATTTTTTAACTAATAGCGCCATCTCACATACAAATGAGTAATTGCAGTAATTTAATAGTGAATTTATACTGTACATATATCAATAAAATTTATCAAATTGTGGTGGTTGTCATTGCTTTTACATAGAATCTGAAGTTCTATTGCGAATGTTTCATTCCATACACAGAGCAATGGTGAACAGCGACACCTAACAATGCGTAGCAAATGTTTTCTACATTAGTTGTACTACGTTGTACTAAAACTGAACTAAAAAATCTAAACTTGGACGTAATATGATAATTGCGTTAAGTTTTCTCAACTGAAGTATTAACATTTGTTCTTTTTTTTTGCTATTCAAGAATTTTAATTTGAAATTTGAAATTATATTATATCTGCTTAAATATAATTATTGTTTAACTAATTTTTTATGATTGCTTATTGTTATTGGTAGTTGTATAAAGCTTCAAAAATATACAAAAATATATACAGTTCCTATTTGAATTTTGAGATTTGGGTGTACTTTTTTTAATACGAAATTTAAACCTACTTCAGAAGGTTGGTTTTTTTTCATACATCGCTTTCTTAGTATTTGCATGCGAAATACGTGCGACCCAAAATAAAATAAACTTTTGCCTGCCTGTGCCTGTAATAGAAAAAGCTTTCCCACTTCACAAAAGGAAAGAAACGTAACCACCAAGACGACATGGTATAAGTGGAGCGCAGGCGTTATTAGAAAGAGAAACCTATAAGAAACTTACTCTTTTTTAATTTTATTCGCTTGAAAGCAAATATGGCGTATGTTAAAAAAACGAAAGCTGAGAATGATATAAAGGTTGATAATGTAACAAAAAGTTGAACTAAGAAACCACCGAATTAAAAAAAAAATAAATTTAATAGCCTAAATTTAATTCATTTGAATTAATGAAGGTATATTTACTCATAAATCATTTACTCATAAATTAATTTTGTTAGCACTTACCTCGAAAATCGATGATTCGTCGTCGAATCCTGGCCACAGTCCTGCTTTGGTCCAGGCGTTACGACAGCAGGATGCGAGTTAAGCACGTGATGAGGTGAACTATGAACTGAAGGCATCAAACTTGGCGAAAATCGAAACGGGAAATCACTGTTAAAGATATGCATTATTAATAATAATAACAAAACACACACAAGTAAAGTTAGTTTAAATCTGTGATTTAAGGATTTCAAATGAACTAATTATGTCTTTAGATCTCTTAACCCTTTTTTCTAATTTAAGCTCTTATAAAAAATTACTATAAACATTCAGATTTATATATATAATTCGATTATAGTTATTTTTCAAAGGACTGGGTTTTTTTATATAATTCGACTAAATATTCAACATTTAATTTCCACAAATTTGTTTCTCAATTATTCCATTTCGAATTACCTTGGTATTGTCGTATTAATGGGTAACGAAGATGGATATGGGTTTCTAAAAGTCGATGCAGCGGAATACACCGATGGCGTGTGCCTAGAAATAAGTAATTAATTTAATCATTAATGTAACTAATATTGCTTGCAAACATTGGATAGAATTAAGTTTCTTACCACGACGCTACTTGCGACATATCCGGACTCAGGATTGGGTAGGGATACTGACTTGAAGAAAATGGATAGATTGCCGGTCGCGTTAAACCTATAAAAAACAAAAAAAAAAATAACATAATTCATTTTGAAGATAATTCATTAAAATTAAAAATAGAATTTTATAATTCTAAAGTGTAGATATTTCAGAAATGAAGTAAATCAAATTTATTCGTTGCATACGTTACGAGAATTCATCTTTAGACAAATGCTAAAAAAATGTACTTAATTTTTTAGGTGCAAGAAAACAATCGATATCGATAACTATGGTTTGACAGCAAACTGTCTTTTCACTAATGTTTGGCAATTCATCATAAATCGTTTTACGCTAGAACAACGTTTTGAAATAGTGAATAACTATTTACTTTGAAAAAAATAAATCTATTCACGAAGTTCATAGAGCACTTCGTCCATTTTACGGTGAACAACATAAAGGCTACGTCAAGAAATAAAATTGCCGTTTATGGAACGAAAATAATGGAATCACCATTACATCCAGTAAAATTGACTGTTTGGTGCGGTTTACACGCTGGTGGCATCATTAGTCTTTATTTCTTTTGAAATGAGGAAGGAGCTGCTGTTACGGTGAATGAAGAGCGTTATCACCCATACTTACTGAATTTTTGTTGCCAAAAATTAATTAGTTTAACAACAATGACATTTGGTTCGAACGGCCGTACAGACGGTGCAACTTGCCATCCAGCGCACTTATCAATCGATTTATTGCAAAATCAATTTGGTAACAACTTTATTTCTAGAAGTGGTGCTGTTAATTGCACCCTCGTTCGTGCGATTTAACACCTCTCGTTTACTTTTTATTTGGCTAAGTTAGGTGCACAATAGATCAAGCTGGTCGCAGTGCACAAAAGGTCTAAGCCTATGCAATAAGCCATTACCATGGGGCTATGTTAAGTAATTATCAGGTTAAGCTTATGCCGACAAACCAGCAACTCTTAAAGCATTGGAAGTCAATGTTTATGAAACCATTGGCGCTATAAGACCACATTTATTGCAAAAAATAGTCAAAAATTGGACTGATCGATTGGACCATGTAACTTATAGCCACGGCGGACATATCCCGAAAATCATATTCAAAAAATAAATGCCATCAAATTACCTATCAAATTATATTAAAAAAATTTCATTAATACCCGATAATAAACACCCGATATTATTTATATAATTTAAAATATCTTATTACTGGAAGTAGACTTTAACATCAGAGTTTTCATCACAAAAGCACTCGGCATTTATTTATCATTAACCTATACATTCAATTATTATTTGACCATAGCACACCCAGCTTGAATGCAGTATACACATATTATAAAGTTCGAAATTCCTCCTCTAATCCTTGCTTATACCATATATATGAATTCGTAGTAAACATTATTGTGTGTGTCATTCATTTCAATATAAATCATCTTAATGATTTTATTGTTTATTGTTTTTTGTTGATAAATAATAAAATAAACAATAAAATCATTAAACAAATTTAAAGTTTAATAACTCATCTTATTTTCAGAAGATATGAACCTCGTAGTTTACCATTGGAGTTTGTAGACAAGGTAGGACTGCTTTCACCATATCAGTGATATTATAAATTCTATTTCGATACAGAATGTTTCGAACTCGATCGTTTTTACTGCTTTTTAATACGACTTTATCATATGTATGTTATACGAGTGCTTAACTTCAATATTCCAATATTTATAAAAATTGTTGGTCTTCTCATATACTTAATACCATTAAAAGAATTCTTAACTTTTTGATTAACTGAGATCTTGATACTACAAGCGTTTCTTATGTTATGTAAAAACATAAAGATATATGGATTACTTTAAATCGACAATTTTTACAGAAACAATAAGGTATGTTCCCGCGATATAACATAGATTACTGTTGAATTTTTATTCTTTGAGTTCTTCTTATACTTCTTTTATCATATCATATGTAATTATTATTTTACAGGTTTTTAGCTACTATTCGTATAACTGAAGTTTCATATTTCGAAAGCCTACATTGTGTTTGCGTTCGTTTTCGATTTGTGTGAGTTGAGTTTTATAATTTGTTAGGAACTGTCACATTTGCTGTGAAAAATATTAAACCAATAAACAGATTTTATTACTAAGCTAGAGTACAGAAACTTAATATTGAACTCGAGGTTGCCCCTCGTTTTAATTTAGAAATTAAAAAGAAATGTTGTTCTTTTCTTAAATAATTAATTAAAACAATAATAGAGCTTAATCGATAGATTTTTATGAAGAAAATCTATTGTTCTGAAAATCAGAAAAGCTCAACATCATATAGGTATACGAGTACATGGCATTAAGTTTATACCGACCCGTGACTGACTTATTTAATTATTCTATGTTATGTATTTGGTTTGTGTGTACACAACCGCCCAAAGGGTTGAAAACAACAGTCGAAAACTTTTTAAAACCTGGGAACCAAAAACAAAATATATATGCGCATGGATGATTATAAGAGCAGAATTTTGAAAAACCTCCCCAAAAAAATGTCAATTCGTTGTCGTTGTTAGTGTCGTAGACGTTGCCGATATCGATGTCGATGTCGATGTCTTGTTGCCGTAATAATCAGCGCTGTTGTCGCATTTTAAAATATACTCCCTGCTTCAGCTTCAGCTTCATGTCATTAAAAAACAAAAATTTCAATTAAATGTAAAATTGCGAAATAGAATAAAGGAAAAATGGAAAAAAATTAAATCCCTATGTACACATGTACTTTAAATTTCGCTTGTGTATTTTTAATTTAGCCCTTCCTTGATATTTGGTATCGTTTACAGCTTACAGTTGAGCGTTTACACATATAAATAACAAATCGACTATACTATACTATACTATACTATACTCTCTTTTATAAAAAAGACAAAATCAATTGAGATTTCCTACTATTATTCCAATGACAGTTGAGGCATGCTGACGACGTTCGTCCTCCCTCCTTTACATAATAATATGCGTACTTAAACGCTTCACTGGGCTGATCATTTACAATAGATAAACAAATGTTCAAATATTTTGCTTTAATCATGTTTTTTTTAATATTTAGTTTCGATAAGAAGCAAAGCATCCGAGATTACATGATTAAAAAGTATGTACATATATGTTATGCCGAGATCAAAAAGAGATATAGGACGGACGGTCGCAATGCGATGAACTTGAATACACATCCACTATTTATTGAAAACCAGATATATATTTTTTACTATATTCATATTATTAAGCCGAATAGAATATGCGCTGAACAAGATCTATATGCCTAAATCAACCGGCAGAAGACTCCTTCAATTGAAGTTATGATAGAATTTATTATAAATGCTAACAATCCTCCTTAGCAATGCATTTTGAAGCGCAACAATCTCATTTCGTTGTTTAATTTCATACTTTCAAATTTAGTTCCAGTTGGTGATTTCTAACAAATATAATAAATCCATTATCCCACTGTTCGCATAATAAAATTTTTTTCTCGAAGCCGCAAAACTAAACTAAAACTCCCAAGCAACTCTTGACTTTCTCACCCCTTAAATGAAACACAAATAAATTATGAAATAATAATTCATATGATGCGATTTTTTCTTCCCCTAAGGTTCGGCTACACAACCAAATAAATGGCATGCACTTAAGAGTTGGTGCGGATTACATGGTATAATGATCGACAATGGAGTGTGCTGCATGTATAACAAATTATGATGCGGTAATTTGCACTATACCACTTAAAAATTAATACACACAAATAACCTTTTATATTTTGTTATTCAATAAACCACAGAACAAAGTCTGGTTCGCTTCAACTTTTTTTATTTTTTCATGCCGCTTTCACTAATTGCTGATGAATTAATTACGCATTTATTAAGTAATAGTGTTTCCGGTATAATCCTACAACTATTTTTTAAATATTTTGTTGGTTCATTGAAACATTTCTAAATATGGAATTTTTTTATATACAATAATTATAATTCCTATTTAATTATATATGGGCATATACCTATAAGGATGTAAACTGTAGATTCTGCGAAGAGAAGAAGAATCAGCCACATGTGTAGTTTAGAATGCCCTGCGCTAGTGCACAAACGGAATAGACTGCTGGGAATGTATATCCTTACGGAAAAGGCAATAAATCTCTGTTGAGTAGACTCTATAGTACTTTTTATTGACGCAACAGTGCCTAGAGACTTAGTCTAAACCCAGAAGGGGGCACAGCAGACCCGATTGTCGCAGTTCTACATCCCCTCTTATTATAAATATCTCCTCTCATTATATATATAAACTTATTATATATATCGGAATTGGTATTTTAAAGAATATTTCCAATAAATCTACATAATATCTGGATGCGAAATATCTTTCGACCTATGGTATGATATAGTTACGTGTAATGTAATTTGCGACACTTGTAAGAAATTATATATCTCCTTATCCTTATCTTCAAGTCGATGACACAAAATTTCGTAATCATGTGGCTGTAACGATCAGAATCAAGATCTAACTCCATTGTTAGACCGAATGGCAAATCGTGCAATGACTTCTCGTGCATATAATAGTAGTTCGTTATTTACTTGTTGATTTTACTGCCCTAGATTGAAGAAAACGATTCCAATTATGGAAGAAAATTCGATGTGAAAAATCGAATGTTTCAACAAGCAGATTGTATGTAATAAATGGAATTGAGTAAGAGTTTTTGTGGTAAATTTTCACGCCATATAATGTCAAAGAGAATGTCCTTTTTGATTTAAAACGATGAAATGGATGGATTCTCATAAACTTGAGTTAAACTTTAGTTCATGGTACATGATACAGTGACAGTGACTGTATCATGTGAATGTAAATTTTTTGTAAAAATATTGTCCACCTAATAATATAAGTAAATTTGGTAAAGGACATGAGTTTTAATGCAATTAAACCGCACAGTGCTCACTTGAAAACTTGAACTTAAGCCCAACACTTTTATTCACATTTTTGAAATTTGTTCAAAAATTTGTCAACATTTGTTGAACGCAACATTAACCTCACACTAACGAGAGTTCACTGTATTTCTCATTTTAATTTATTTCAATTAAAATTTAATTTGTTTTTCGAACATCACTCCTATAATACCCTAACAAGTTATTGTCAATAATACAATATTGAACATTTTGTGAAAGAATTTATAATAAAATTTATATATATGTTTCGAAAAAATACATATCTAGATTATATATTGATGTAGATCAGCAAATTGACTTGTCGTGCACTGATTTAAATAGCATTAGGGTTCGATTCTACACACCTTTGCAAGAAGTAATAAAATAAAGTTTAGATACAGTAAGAC